GGAGCAGAGCGAGGGCTCGGCCGGCCCGGGCGGCGGCAGGCGCTGAGCTCGGCCCGCCAGGCCCCGCAGCCTGCCCGGAGCGGAGGGACCGGGACCGGGACCGGGACCGGGACCGGGACCCGGGGGGAACCGCGGCGGCTCCATGGCGCAGCCCTCGAGCCCCGCCGCCCCGACCACGCTGGCGGGAAAGCTCTGCGCAGGCGCGGCCCGCCCACCGCGTGGCTCCGCCCCTTCGCACCGCCCAGCACCGCGGACAGCGCCAGGAGGGGCGGGGCCTAAAGGGGGCGGAGTCAAGGAACGGGGGTGGGGTCAAACGGGATTGAGGGTACAGCGGGATTTGGTGGGGGTACATTGGGATTGGGAATTAATAAATAGGGATTTGGGGGCGTGAATTTGGGGTTAAGAGGGAAATAAACTGGGGTTTGGGAGTATACTGGGATTTGGGGTAAAAAAGGTGAGATTTGGGAGGTACATCGGGATTTGGGGTAAAGACGTGGAGATTTGGGAAGTATACTAGGATTTGGGGCAAAAAAGTTGAGATTTGGGAGGTATATTGGGATTTGGCGTAAGAAAGGTGAGATCTGGGAGTTATATTGGGATTTGGGAGGTATACTGGGATTTGGGGTAAAGAAGTGGAGATTTGGGAGGTATATTGGGATTTGGGGTAAAAAAAGATGAGATCTGGGAGGTATATTGGGATAGGAGGTAAATAAATTGAGATTTGTGATAAGGAAATGAGGACGTGGTGGTACAATAGGATTGGGAAGGGTGAATTGGGATTCGGGGGGGCAACAGCAGGGGCAAAGGGCAGCCGCAGTCCCACTCCCTGCCCACCGGCGCTGCCTGGGGGGCATCCAGGGGGGATTCAGCTCCGCGACATCACCCTTGGGTGATGCTGGACCCCCCCGGCTCTCCCCATGGCGAGGAAGCAGCGCAGGCTGTGACCCCCATGGGCAGGATGAGACGGAACAGCCCGAAATGGGCAAACCCAGGGGTTTATTCCACATTTGTCCCCAGGCGCGGGCAGGGGCACAGCAGGGTCCTGCACCCCCGGAGCTGCGCGGGGGGGGACCAGGGGCTGCAGCGGCCCCAACCAGCCCCATGGGCCCCCCCAGCTCCCTCTGCGCTACCGGTGCCGGTGCTCGAGCAGCGCCTCGAAGTCCGGGGAGCAAACGAGCTTGTGCTTGACGTGGCCCAGGACCATCATCTCCCCGGTGCGGCCGTCCCCGATGCCCACCGACACCAGCTCCTGGGCCCGGCGAGAACCACCCATGAGCATCCCAATGGGAAACCCATCAGGCACTGGGGGGGGGGGGGGGGGGGAAGCATCCCCCTGGAGCCCCCGCACGCTGGTGACAACAGCAGGGTCCTTCCCTGCTGCCCTCACTGGGATGGGCTGCAAAGGGCATCACCAGCACCACCCTGCCAGCTCCCCATGGGGCTCAGCCCCACACCTTGTACCTGCAGGAAGGAGCAGGGGGTGCCCATGGTCACGTCCAGGGTCACTTTGCCCAGCACCAGCTGCACCTTCCCTGACTTGCGGACCAGCAGCTTCCCCACTTGTCCCTCGGGGAGGTCGCTCAGGGTGCACGTGTTCTCTGCCTGCCTCAGCTCCTGCGGGGACACGGGACAGGGACCTCATCCCAGCCTCCCCTCTGCCATGTCAAAGCCTTTCCCCTCGTCCCAAGCCCCTCCCCAGGTTTCCTGCAGCCCCTTCAGGCACTGGAGCTGCTCTGAGGTTCCCCTTCTCTTCCCCAGGCTGACCCAGCCCCGCTCTCTCAGCCTGGCTCCAGGACAGAGCTGTTCCGTGGCCTCCTCTGGCCTCTCTCCACGAGCTCCAGGTCCCTCCCAGCGGTGCCCGCAGCCCCTACCTGGCTCTTGTCCTGCTTGCCCAGCAGCCCTGGTGCGTCCTCGCCGTGCAGGTCGGGGCGCGCGGGTTTGGTGTCGTGGCTGGGGGGCTGCCCCGGCAGCGTGTCCGGGAGCTGCAGGAACAGCAGCTCCTCCTCGGCCGAGAGCCGCAGGCGCTGCAGCAGCTCCGACACCGGCACGTCCCGGGGGAAGCCGGGGGGGGCCCTGCTGGGCGCGGGCCGGGGGGGGGCCTCATCGCAGGGCTCCTCCTTCACTGCACAGGGAGAGGAGGGGTGGGTACAGGGAAAGGAAAGGGGGGCAGCCCCACACCCCCCTCAGTCCATAGAGCCCTGCAACGGGTTGGGTTCAAGCTCCTCCAGCTCCAACGCCTGCCACAGACAGGGACCTTCCACTGGAGCAGGGCGCTCCAAGCCCCATCCAACCTGGCCTTGAGCACTGCCAGGGATGGGGATGCAGCTCAGGCACTCACTGATGGCTCATGGGGAGCTCCTCGGAACCAACACCCCCGAGTTCCCCTTGGTGATTCCCAGCTCCCCCCAACTCACCCTTCACCGCCGATGGGTCCAGCTCCATCTTCTCCTCCTTGGGGCCGGGCACCCAGGGCTCAGCATCCTCCTGCTCGCCCGACTCCTCCTTGAAGAGCCAGCCCGAGTGGGCCAGGGGCAGCTGCACCGGCTTGTTCCGGATGTCGTTCTTCAGCCCTGGGTCATCCAGGAACTGCGGGCACGGCAGCAGGGATGCTCAGCGCTGTCCCACCGGCACCAAACTCCCCCACACCCCGGCCCCACTCACATCATCCTTCTGCAGCATCCGCAGGATCTGTTTTGTCTCCTCGTCCGTCTCCCTCTTCTCCTTCTTGATGTTGATGATGTGGGAAGGACCAAAGTCTGACATATCCACGGTCTTGTCCCAGGAGCCTGCTGGGGACCAGGAACCAGCGCCGGGGTGAGCCCGGAGCAGGGCAGGACCCCCCAGATGAAGAGGAGCAGCTCCTTTACCTTTCTTCTTCATCATTTCAGCAGGGCCCTGCTCGAAGATGGAGTGGGACTGGATGACCGCGGGCCGGCCCCGGCCCCGGCCGTGCCCATCGCGCTGCCGCTCCCGCTCCTTCTTCTCCTTCTTGACCGAGGTTTCCTCCCTGGGCCTGGGGAGCACGGAGGGGGGGGGGAGTCAGCACCCCCACGGCCGCGGGGCCCTGCTCCATCCATCACCGCCATGGATGAAGCCGGGGCACTTACTCCTCCTTGATCTTCCTGCTGATGATGTTGGGGGTGAAGGTTTTCTGCGGCGAGAGCAGGGCTCGGTCACTGCAGGGCCCCGGGCAGGGCAGAAACCACCCCGGCCCCGGGGCTGCGGGAGGCGGCGGCGGGGACCGGGCCGTGCCCCGCACCCAGCGCTCCCCGGCACCGCTCCGCATCCCCCCCATCGCGGTCCCCGTCACCCGCAGGGACCCCAAGGGGCAGGTTTGGGGTTCCCCCTCCCCCCCCGGTTCTCACCTTCTTGACGCCGCCCAGGGTGAGGTCTCGGGAGCGGATGGAGGGCAGGCGGCCGGGGGTGACGGGGGGGGCCCCGGGCCGCCTCCCCAGCAGCCCCCGTGCCCCCGGCAGCCCCGGGCGCAGGCTGGGCCCGGAGCCCGCGTCGCCAGAGCCCCCCTCCGCCATCCTCGGCCTGCGGGGGGACAGGTGGAGAGGGGCACCCCCAAACAGAGCCCATCCCATAGCCCTCACACTGCCCCCCCCAAACACAGCCCATCCCATAGCCCTCACACTGCCCCCCCAAACACAGCCCATCCCATAGCCCTCACACTGCCCCCCCCAAACAGAGCCCATCCCATAGCCCTCACACTGCCCCCCAAAACACAGCCCATCCCATAGCCCTCACACTGCCCCCCCCAAACAGAGCCCATCCCATAGCCCTCACACTGCCCCCCCAAACACAGCCCATCCCATAACCCTCACACTGCCCCCCCAAACACAGCCCATCCCATAGCCCTCACACTGCCCCCCCAAACACAGCCCATCCCATAACCCTCACACTGCCCCCCCAAACAGAGCCCATCCCATAGCCCTCACACTGCCCCCCCAAACACAGCCCATCCCATAGCCCTCACACTGCCCCCCCCAAACACAGCCCATCCCATACCCCTCACACTGCCCCCCCAAACAGAGCCCATCCCATAGCCCTCACACTGCCCCCCCAAACACAGCCCGCTCCTATCCCTCACCCCATGGGGCTCAGCCCCCTCGATCCTCCCGCACCCCTTCCCCACGCTGCTCAGACCCCCAGAGCCCCCCCCAACCCCCCCATGGGGCTCACCCCCGATCAGGGCCCCCTCGCCCCCCCCCCATGGGGCTCACCCCCCCATGCCCCCCGTACCCGCACCACGCCGCCCCTTACCCGGCCCGGGCAGCCACGGGCTCACGTCCGCACCACGCATGCGCGCAGCGCGACGAGCGTGTCCGTTGTGGCGCCGTCTCCGCCATCTTTATTAAGGGCAGCCATGTTCGCCAGTGATCCGCCATCTTTGTGCTGGGCACTACGCTGCCCTGTGTGACAGCGGCGGCGCCATCTTTGTAGCGGGCAGAGCCCCGCCGTGGGGCGCTGTGCAATGGGGACGCGCACACAATGGGGGGCACACACACAGTGGGGACGAGTTTGGGGTCACCTCGCATCATTTGAATCCCATGGGGTGCCGGGCTGCCGACACCCCCTAACCCCCTGCCCCACACACGGGCACCCCACACACCCATGGACCCGGTAGGCAACGAGGTTTTTGGGGTGCTCCCCCCCAGATAAACCTGGTTCTGCAGCACAGGCGGCCCCTGCATCCTCCCCCCCATCAAACCCGGGGGCCGCAGGCCGGGGGGGTGCCGGGGGGCTCCAACACCCCCATAGCCCCTGCACCCCCCATGGGTGCGTTGGGGTGTCCCGGCTGTGCCATGGGCTCAGCCCCCCCCTCCACCCCCAGCCTGCGCCCACAGCGCGGAGCCGCTGCCCCCATCCCTCGCTGACGCCGCTCGCAGCCATTGGCGAACGGGCTCGGTCCTGCCCCCCCCGCCGCTCACAGGCACCGGTTTCGCCTCTCTTTTGGGGTTCGCCCCCCCCCCTCCGCCTCCCCCCCCCCCCCCCATCGGTCTCATTCCCTCTCCCTCCTCTGGAGGGTGCGCGCTGCTCCCGAGCTGCCGGGGAGGATCCCGGGCGCAGCAGCCGCAGGCAGCACCGCGGCACCGCCGGGTACCGCGGCCGCGCTCCCCCCGTGCCTGCCCTGCGCTGCCCCCCCAGCGGCACCGCACCGCGTCCCCGCAGCCCCCGGCACGGACAGGTACGGGCCGGCTCGGGAGCGCGATTCCCAGCGGGAACTGGAGGAGGGGCTGCCTGGGGGCCGCGGGGTGCGTGGATGGGGCCGCGGGGTGCGTGGATGGGGCCGCGGGGTGCGTGGATGGGGCCGCGGGGTGCGTGGATGGGGATGCGGAGGCACGGGCACATCGCGGTGTGCCCGCAGAGAGCCCGCTTGGCCGCTGCCAGGCACCCAAATGGGGCATTGGGGTGGCACCGGTGTCCCCAGAGCGGTGACCTTCTGCTGGTGTGGGGTGACACCAGCCTGGGGGGGTTTGGTGGGTGCCGAGCACTGGGGGAGGCTGGGGGGGGGGGGGCTGTGGGTGGCTGGAGCGTGGGGGGGCTGCGCCCGTGGGTGCTGAGCGGTGTTGGCACCAGTGATGGTGATGATGGTGGTGATGGTGGTGATGCCGTGCAGCGACGCGGGGGGGGCTGCGGACTGTTGGTACTCCGGCTGTGGGTGCCCCTGGACACGGGTGTACATGGGGGGCAGCCCCATGGTGCCAGGCATCGATGGGTGCCCGCCTCAGCGTGGCACGGCTCCTTTGCTGGGGTGCGAAGCGGGGGGCACCCACCCCAGCAACCACCCCATAGCTCGGTGCCACCGCTGGCACCTGCTACACCCACGGACCCCCCACCCTTGGGTGAGAACCCCCCCCATGGCGTAGGGGGGGAAGCGCAGCGCCAGCCAAGGGGAAACTGAGGCAGGGAGCGCCCGCGGGCCGGGGCAGAGGCGGATCCAGGCTCTCCTCCCGCACCGCTCCCCGCTCCCATCCCTCCCTCCGCTCCCCTTGTTTTTCTTTCCCCACCCGGTGTTGAGCAAACCCCGAAACAGGCGCTGGCGTCGAGCCGGGGCCCCGCGGCACCCGGGCGGGCTCGTTCCCGGCTCCCCGCTGCCTATTCCTGGCTGCCGGCTGCCGTTTCCCTCCCCGGTGCCATCTGCTCTGCCGCGGGCCCCCGGCTGCGGGCGGGCGGCAGCTGCCGCCGTGGGCTGCGGTCGCCCCCGGTTGCGTTCGGCACCCCCAGAGCAACCCCCGCGTGTCCCGCAGGAGCCCCGCACCTCCTCCGGCCATGGAGCTGCTTTCCACCCCCAAGAACATCGAGATCAACAACATCACCTGCGACTCCTTCCGCATCTCCTGGGCGATGGAGAAGGGGGACCTGGAGAGGGTCACCCACTACTTCATCGACCTCAACAAGAAGGAGAACAAGAACTCCAACAAGTTCAAGCACCGGGTGAGCCGGGGTGGGGGGGGACTCGGGGGTCCCGTTTAGGTCGAGGAGATGGGGCTGGGGGGGGGGGGAGCAGCGTTTGTGCTCACTCCAGTGCCGAATTGGGGTCAAATCCTCCCTTGGGACACGGTGGAGGAGACCGGGATGGGGACCGAGGTGCCACCAAGCCCCCAAGGCCCCGCGAAGCCGCTCACGCTCCCCTTCCGCATGGCTGCGAGTCACTCACTCGGGCCGGTTTTAGCAGCGCCGTTGCCAGGGTGATGCTATTTAATGTTTAACATTATTTTTTTCCTCCCTCCTCCCCGGTAATAAAGGGGGGGGAATGGGGGGGGGATTATTCCTTTTTTTTCCCCTGTGTCTCCTGACTTCAGCATCCGCCGTTGCCACAGAAACAGCTCTGCACTGCGGTGATGCTCCCTGGCCTCTTGACACCACGAGATGATGCTGGGAGCAGGGGTCCCCAAGACACCCCCTTGGTTGGGAGAAGCTGAGTCCCCATCCCAGCAGCACTCGGGATTGGGAAGGGGTAGGGAGGGAAGAGGGGGGGGTGTGAGATGAAATCCTGACCCTCAGCCCTTTGGCACAGGATGTCCCCACCAAGCTGGTGGCCAAGGCGGTGCCGCTGCCCATGACGGTGCGGGGCCACTGGTTCCTGAGCCCCCGCACCGAGTACAGCGTGGCGGTGCAGACGGCCGTGAAGCAGAGCGATGGCGAGTACCTGGTGTCCGGCTGGAGCGAGACGGTGGAGTTCTGCACCGGGGGTGAGCGGAGGCGTTCCCGGGGCTGGGATCCAGGAGCCGGGAGCACGGGGGCGATGCCAGGAGCTTGCACAAGCCGGGGCCGGTTGGAGCGGCAGCTGATGAGTGGGAAGCAGGAGGTGTGGGGAATGGGAGCTGCGGGGTGGGATGGGATGGGAGGGGCTGGGCTGCCGAAGGAGGGGGGGGGGGGGGGGATTCACCCCGATGTCCCCATCCCCAGACTATGCCAAGGAGCATCTGGCCCAGCTGCAGGAGAAAGCGGAGCTGATCGCCGGGCGCATGCTGCGCTTCTCCGTCTTCTACCGCAACCAGCACAAGGAGTATTTCCAGCACGTCAGGTACCCCCATTCCCAGCTGCTCCCCCCCCCCCCCCCCCCGGACACCCACTCCCCACCGGGGCTGCATCTCTGACCTCTGTGTGTGTCCCCGTGTGCCCCCCCTGCTCCCCGCACGCAGGATGCACTGCGGGAACGTGATGAAGCCGTCGCTGAAGGACAACAGCGGCAGCCACGGCTCCCCCACCAGCGGGATGCTGCACGGCATCTTCTTCAGCTGCAACACCGAGTTCAACACCGGGCAGCCCCCCCAGGACTCGCCCTACGGCCGGTACCGCTTCCAGATCCCAGCCCAGCGCCTCTTCAACCCCAACACCAACCTCTACTTCGCGGACTTCTACTGCATGTACACCGCCTACCACTACGTCGTGCTGGTCCTGGCGCCCAAAGGCTCCTCCGGGGATCTCTTCTGCAGGGAGCGCCTGCCCCAGCTGGACATTTCCTCCAACAAGTTCCTGACGTGCTGCGTGGAGGAGGGCGAGCTGGTGTACCGCCATGCCCAGGACAGCATCCTGGAGCTCATATACACCGAGCCGGTGGACCTCAGCCTCGGCGTGCTGGGGGAGATCAGCGGCCACCAGCTCATGAGCCTCTCCACCGCCAACGCCAAAAAGGACCCCAGCTGCAAGACGTGCAACATCAGCGTGGGGCGCTAAGGGGGGGCCTCGGGCAGGGCCGGCCGGGGGCACGGACCCATGGATGCTGCTGGGGGAAGGACGCGGATGGGCCTGCGGAACCCGGCCCGCGGCAGCAGGGAGCTGGTGGGATGCTCGCCCGGTGCTGAGGCAGAGCCTGGGCCGCTCAGCGGGAGGAAGCCTTCGTCTCCTGGACCGGCCGACCAGCACCATCCTCGCATCGTGAGCCCCGCGCTCTGCCCGCCTCTGCGCATCCTCTGCGGGACCCCCATCCCCTCCAGCATCCCTTTACCCCCCACCCCACGGGGTTCGTCGGAGAGGCTGGAAAACACCCCCCTTCCCAGTCCTGGACTGCGCCCGGGGATGGAGGAGTGCTGGGGCAGGGACCCCCGCTTTGGGGCACCGGTTTGGGGTGCGGGGCGGCACCGCCGCGTCCCCCCTTGGTGTCGTGCTGTGTTCACTCTCCGCTCTACCCGTCCCCATGGCAGCCGGAGGAGCCCGGGTGGGGGAGCAGAGCTGCCCCCCCCTCGCCCTGTGTCCCCCCCCTCTTTCTGCAGCCCCCCGCATGAGCCGTCGGCAGCATGGCCCCCGCGGGCTCCCCTCTCTGTGTACCCCCTGCACGCTGTTCCGGTGGGACACAACCACCTCCCCGTCCCGAGCATCCCTGTGCTGTGCTGGCGCTGTATCAATAAACTGTGCGGTCACCCCGGCCGTGTCCCGCGCCTCTGTCCCTGCTCCAGCCCCGGGGGTGCTCCGGAGGGGAGGGACAGGGTGGGGAGGGGGGACCGGGAGGTGCTGTGATAGCAATGGGCACCCTCCTGCTCTCACCAGCCGCAAGAGCACGGTTTTGACACCGCATCGCCCATCACTGCAAACCCTGCTGGATGAGAGGCCCCGGCGCCCATCACTTCCCATCCGGGCTGCGGGTGAGGAGCAGCCCCGTTCCCCCACCGCAGGCGCCATCACATGAAGGACGAAGGAGGAGATGCGCGAGGGAGCGCGTGCTGCATCCCACCATCCATCTGCGGCAGGCGGCAGCGCACCCACCCGGGAGGGTGGCTTGGGATGGTGCTGGGGATGCGTTCCCAATGGGGAACCAAAGGTGTGGGGTGAGCACCTACCCGCAGAGCTGCCCAAAGGCGGCCGGGGGGAGCACCCAGCACCCACAGAGGGACTCGCTCCGGCTGTGGCTCCAGCTCATCACTGCGGATTGCAATGAACTGATTGCCTTTGGGGAGCCCCGACGTGCGGCTCTGCTGCGGGGAGGGAGGGATGCTCTGCCCTCCCTGGTCCAGCCCTGGTTTGGATGCTTCCCCCTGAAGCGGGGGAAGCAAAAAGGCCGGGGCTGCCCCCTCCAAGTACAAGGGTATTTATTTCATCGGTACAAGAGGGAGACAGCACCTTGTGTGTGTTGGGCTCTTCCCGGTTACTGGTTTGTACATTCAGAGCTGCGGCCGGCTCGGCCGGGGTGAGGAAGGGCAACGGGGCCCTCGTGTGCCCCGCACAGTGCCAGGGGCACGGCTGCTGGCCCAGGGACCCCCCCTCTGCCCTTGTGCCCAGGGGTGCCCGAGCCCCGGGGCCCTGTGCGAGCGTGTCTTGAGTGCTGAGGTTGGCTGTGTGCGCCTCGGGCAGTCTGTGCGGGGTGCGCGCCCGCTGCCTTCCTCCTGCCTCCTCCGTCCTCCTCCTCCCTGCCCGCGGCGGGGGCCGGGACCCCCCCGGGCCCTCATTTCCTCGTGTGCAGCGTGTCCTGGAACTTGGTGCTGGTGTAGCGAAGGTGGAAACCCTTCTTGTTGATGGTGTCGTCCGAGTGGAAGCGGATCATCACCGAATCTCCGGCTGAGTACACCTCCTCCGGGGGCTGCCGGGACGAGGGACAGGGGTCCTCAGCACCGTGAGCATCCCGGGGGTGCACAACTGCCTGCACCCCCATCTACAACCCCAGAGTCCCCCCGAGGGATGCTCTGGCTGGCCTGGCTCAGCTTACAGCAGTTTAGGTCTTTCATAGAATCATAGGATCAACCAAGTTGGGAAAGCCCTTTAAGCTCACCCAGTCCAACCCTTACTCCAGCACTGCCAAGGCCACCACTGACCCACGGCACTGGAGGCCTTGGCTACACGGTGTGCGAACACTTCCAGGCATGAGCCCTTCCTAATACCCTGACCTTTCCCAATATCCACCGCTCTTCCAATCACTGCACTGAGCAGGGACCATCTACATCAGCTTGCACAGAACCACATCCAGCCTGGCCTGGGGATGCTTCCATCCCTTCCTTTTGCCCCCCCCATCCCTCCCCCTCGCCCCATCCTCACCCCGGACCCGCAGAAGCGCCCGAGGCGAGGCGCTGTCCCGTCGTAGCCATCAAAGAGCTCCATGTAGTCATAGCCACAGTCGGCCTCCTCCTCGATCTCGAAGGTCTGGAAGATGAGCTCCACGCCGTAGCCCTCCTCGGCCATGATCACCCACTCGCAGTCCGAGCCCCCAGGGTAGTTGTTGTCCCCAAACTGTGCGTGCGAGTACAGGTCCTTGGTCTTCACCTCAGCGCGGACCTGGCCGCCGCACACTGCGGGACGAGACAGCAGCGAGGGGATGCTGAGGCGGGCCCACAGCCTCCTCCTGCCCCATAACCAGGCTCCGTGCCGGTACCTGTGGCGTGGGTGGCCTCAAAGCCCTTCTTTTGCACAGAGTTATCAGAGACGAACTTGAGGAACATCTTGTTGCCCGAGGAGACGAGGGGCTCGGGCTCTTTGGCCCCACAAAAGCGGCCAAGCGCCGGGGCTTTGGCGTCTTTGCCATCGTAGATCTCCAAGTGGTCGTAGGCACATTCCTGCTGCGCCTCCACGTCCAGCTCCGAGAAGGTCTGTGGAAGTGACAGAGCCACCAGCACTCGGTGGGGCTCAGCGGGGGGAACCCCCCATTACCACCCATCCCCTGGTACCCACAGAGCCCTACCAGCTTGACGCGGTGCCCCGGCGTGGTGCTGATGGCCCAGGTACACTCCTTCTTGCTGGGGTATTTGTCAGGCCAGTTGGGGCTGGTGATGGTCCCCGTGGTGGACGTCACCTTATGGTCACAGCCGGCTGTGGGGACAAGGGGGGGGTCAAGGGTGCAGGGGTTGGGGCTGTGGGGAGTTTGGGGCTCAGACCCACCTTCCTTGCAGTCGTGCTTGTTGTCGTGCAGCACGAAGCCGCTGCGGCACTGGCACTCGTAGCTGCCGAAGGAGTTGAGGCACTCGTGCTGGCAGCCCCCGTTGTTCTTGGAGCACTCGTCCTTGTCTGCCGAGAGAGCAGAGCGGCCGCGGCTGAGCTGGGCGAGGTGGGAGAGCATCCCGGGTCCGGCGTCCATCCCCACATCCCGCTGCCCAGCCCTGCGCCGCTGCCGCCGGCGAGAGAGCAGCCAAGCAAGCGCCTGCACCAGCAACAAGCAGCTCCTCCATCCCTCGGCCAAGCTGGGAGCAGCCCCCGCGGGTGCTGGGATGGGTCCTCCTCTCCCTGGGCTCACACCCCTGGCTACAACCATTACCTGCTTTACGGGGTGGACGGGGAAGGCAGAAAAACACACTGACAACAAAGATGCACAAGAAAGACCAGGACGCGGGAGTCCCTCTTTACTCATCGACAGGGAAATGTCACAGACACGGTAAAAACCAGGGGCAAAACTCCAAACCAGGGTCGGGGGGTCCGCGACCAGCCCCACGGCGGTGCTTAAACCAGGCAGAACACGTAAAAACAAGGACAAAAGCATCCGAAACGAGGCCAACGACCAGTTCTGTCAAGCGAAGGGGCCGCGGGGCGGCCCGGCCCCGGCGTGCTCCCGCACGGCATTCCTGAGAAAGATGGGAGAGGAGGAGGCGGCTCAGGACGGGCCCCGCGGCCGCTTCTGCAGGCGGACCTTGAGGCCGGGCGGGCGCGACTTCGGGGGCTGGAGCTGCTGCTTCTTCTCTGCAAAGAGAGGAGGAGGAGAAACGGGAGCGATGGGGGCGCGGGCGCGGGGGGCAGCGGGGCATGCGGGGGGCAGCGGGGCAAGCGAGGCAGAGCAGGGCACCCGCACCAGCGGCGCACGGGGAGGAGGTGAGGCTGAAGCGGGCTCTGCGGGGGCAGTGGAGGGGTCGGGGCCCCAGGCTGCCTGTACCCACCTACCAGCACCCGCCACCACCTGAGGTCCCTATCACCGGTGTCACGGGGGTGCCCCCCCCCGGCCCGGAGCCCGCTTTGGGGCAGGATGCGCCGCAGCCCATCGCCTCTCCTCGCTCCCTGTCCCCGCGGGGGTTTGGGACGGGGGGAAGCCAGCAGCAAGCAGGCAGCCACCCCGCCAGCATCCCTCTGCCCGCTCGCAGCGATGCCGCAGGGGAGCAGCATCCCCCCGGGAGCCAGCGCCCGCAGCCCCGCGGGGCAGCCCCAAGCCCCGCGGCCACCTCTCAAGCAGAGGCTATAACCTGACGTCTTCCTAGGTCTGAGAGAGGAAGCGAGGCGGAAAGGCTCGTTTGGGAATGGGAAAGGGCTTCGGATGGGCCGGGAGCGGCTCCGAGCGGCTCCGGCCCGGCATCACCCGCCGCCGGCAGGACGGAGGGAGCCTGGGCGGGCGAGACAAGAGCGGAGAGTTGCCGGAGGAAGGGACCCGCCACCGGCTCTGTCTGCGCCCTGCTTTACCCTGCCCCTGCCGCCACCGCTCCCGGGCGCTCCCCGGCATCACAGCGGCATCCGGCGGCTCCCCCGGGCTGCGCCCACCACCCTGCAGCTCCCGCCGGCACCCATGGCCCCGCTACGGACCCCCCCTGCCCCGCAGAGCCGGGGGGACGTACCTGGGAGCTGGCACCGAAGGGTCCTTAAGTGGGAGCCGGCCGGGCCGGCCGCTGCCTCCGGCGAGGAGGAGGAAGAGGAAGGGGCCGCGTCTTCACCGGGGCAAAGCGGGGCTCGGGGAGGAGCACGGGGACCCTCCGCCGCTAAAAAGGGGCCTCACGGGAGATGCTTTGCCCAGGGTCGGATGGGAGCGACCCCAGGGAGGGGAGCGCAGGAAGGACCCTGCTGTGGCCGAGTCCTCCAGCGAGGTCCTGCTGCCGAGACCTGAGTGAGGGCAGGGAGGGGTGAGGTTTGGGTGTCCAGGACGGAGAAGCCCCATGAGGCGGCCGCACACCCCGGCCGGAGGCAGAGGAGGTGAAGGGGAAGGGGGGGCACTCACCCGGCTGCCCCCGGTGCCGCCGCCGCCGAGGTCTGGCTTTGCCGAGGAGCCGCTCGCTGGGTTCCATCGCGAGGGGAAGCGGCAGGAGCTGCCCCGGCTCAGGAGCTGCGCTCGCACCACGGCAGCGCCAGGGGCCGGGCTGGCGTCCAGGCACCGCCGTCCATCGGGGGGGAGCCTCTCTTCCATGAGGGTCCCGCGGCAGCCCCCGGCCCAGGGGCCAGCCCCGGATGATGCTCGGCTGCAGCCGGGGCGTGTTTGGCTCCGTGTCCCCATCCCCACCCGCCCGAGGCATGAAGGTGCCATCAAATGGCTTTAAACTGACAGAGAGGGGAGACTGAGATGAGCTCTGAGGCAGAAGCTCTTCCCTGCGAGGGGGCTGAGGCGCTGGCACAGGGTGCCCAGAGAAGCTGTGGCTGCCCCATCCCTGGCAGTGCTCAAGGCCAGGTTGGACACAGGGGCTTGGAGCAAGCTGCTCCGGTGGAAGCTGCTCCACCCTGCCATTGGAACCAGGTGAGCTTTAAGCTCCCTTCCAAACCCTTCCAGGATTCCATGATCTCCTGGCGGGGTGGCCCGGGAGAGGAGGTCAGACCACAGGACACACAGGGATAAGCAGGTAATGGTTTTG